ACATGGCCAGCAAGCCACTCCCACAAAGGAGGCCACACCCACAGAGTAGGTTCGAAAAAAATTTGAAACCCACCACTGTCCTTGTGTCACTTTTCTTCTATTTCACTGTAACTTCAAATGTTCACGAAATAAATTGTTGTAAGACGAAGAAAACAAAACAACAGAGAAGAATGCAAAATACGTGATAGATTTCTTAAGGCTTCTACAGGTTTATGACACCCATCCAATGGCACCATTTTATTATTTACTAGCTGATAACTCGACGTTGCCCAGGTATTCTTACACGCTGAAGCATTTGTCTGACAGGGAGCCATTGGGGGGGGGGGCTTTCTTCTTCCTATTCCCATGCCCATCATCCCTGCCCTCTCCCTTCCCCCTCACATGCGCTCCTCTTTCTTGCCCTGTTTACGATCCTGGCACCCTGCCCCAAATCCATCAGGCGCTTCCCCGTTGGTCCACTGGAAAGCGGACGTCACAGCTGGCTTTCCAGAGGAAGCTGCAAAGGAACTGACGTCACAAACGATTGCCATTCTAGGATGCCACACTCTCTCTCCTTAACAGCCCAGGCATTCCAGAGTTATGCTGGAACACACAGACACAGACACCTGGGAGGGGGGGAGGATTGTAACCAAACTTGGTACACAGATGACTTACCCTCTGGAAACAAATACTGGGGAGAGCGGGGGGGGGGGCACTATTTATTTCCAGAGAGTAAATCATCTGTGTACCAAGTTTGGTGGAAATTGCTCGAGGAACTCCAGAGTTATGCTGGAACATACATACATACATACATACATACACAAAAAAGAAGAAAGAAAAAGAAAGAAGAAAAAGAAAGGAGAGGAGGAGGAAGGTTTTATTTCATTCTGCTAAAAGAGAATCGGGGAATGACAGCCCCTCTATGACTTGTGGACTTCAACTCCCAGAAGCCCACAAGTCATAAAAGGACCATCATTTCCCCCATCTCTGAGCCAAAAGATGAAACACCAACAGGCTAAGGTGCGTTTGAATGGATTACAAGAAACGAGGCTGTGTATTTCTCTGTACCTTTCTCCTTTTTGACGCTTTAAATTGCCTTTGTATTCCGCCCACTTGGCTTTGTCCGAAAGTTCCCCAGATATGAAATCTTTCAAATCGGGTCCCTCTTGAAAATGTCCCATCTGGGCTTCTGGCAGCGAATTCGAGCTTGAAGTCCTCCGCTGGTTTCCAAACATCTGGGGGAGAGGAATAGATGTATATATGTATTATATAATATATATAATTGCTTTGCAAATGTAATATACAGGTAATCCTCGACTTATGACCACAATTGATCCCGAAAGATATGTTGCTGAGTGAAACAGTTGTTGTCATGCCCCCGTCGGAGCCTGAATCCGAGGAGGAAGACAAGCTGGAACTGGAGCCTATGGAGATCAAACATGAACATGAGAGACGGAGCTCAGGCGATGAGCAAGAACCACCTCCTCCTGATCCAAGAGCACCGAGAGTGTAGAGAAGGCGAGAACAGCTCAACTACTCAGGAGGAGGGCACTCCTCCCCTCTTCACAAGGCACACCTGGGGACTGAGACTTAGGGAGATGTTGGGAACAAAAGCTGAATTATTCATGGAGGTTTTTGTGCCGTTGCCAACACTGAACATTTCCTGGATTTCTTGCTTTATTTCTTGCTTCCTGGATTAACCGCCTTGTTCCTTTGCTTCCTGGACTCATTGGCTTATTCCCTTGGCCTATTGGATGTTGTGCTCCCAGCGCTGTGCTGGATTACTTCCAACCAGAGGCTGCTGGAGTGGTGTGTGCATGTGATCACTTTGCTCTGGCACTTGCCAGAAACGTGGGATAGGTTGGGGGAAAGTTGGAGCAATAAAGGGTTAAGTGATCTCTGCCCCACCTTACAATTTTTCTTGCCACTTTAGTTAAGCGAATCACTATACTTGTTGAAGTAGTAACACCGTTGTGAAGCGGGACCCAGCTTCCACCTTGACTCGGCTTGTCAAAAGGCCGCAAAAGGGGATCACACAACCCAGGGACACTGCAACCGTCATAAATATGAACCAGTTGTCCGGCATCTGAGTATAAATCGCATGATCATGGGGATGCTGCAGTGGTTATAAGTGATGTGGCCCACCAGTTGGCCACAACATGGCTGGCAGCAGACTCGCACGATGAGGAGGTTGGGGAGGAACTTGAGCCAGTTCTGGATCCTGGGGAAGCTTCGTTCCCCGAAGGCGCATGGAACGCTGTTACCTTCCTACCAAAATGATCGCTGTTTTTCCACTTGCCTTTTTATATGCTTTCAAACTGCTAGGTTGGCAGAAGTAATGGGAGCTCCCTCTGCTACACAGCGCGAGGGATTCAAACCGCCAAACTGCTGACCTTTCTGATCGACCAGCTCAGCGTCTTAGCCACCGTGTCTCTCTGTGAATAACAGAGGAGAAGGAGCCGACTCGGCAAGCAAAGCAAAGGTGGACGCTGAATGGCCCCTCCCTGGCTGGGGAATAAATAGAAGGAAAGAGGAGTGGTGGTCGTAGGAGACAACAGTTCGTATTTCTGGAGATTTTGCTCATTGTGTTTTGTGCATCAAAGACTGCTTGCCAGACTGAGGTTTATCTCTTTCTGTTTGAACTGGCTTAATTTGCAGCCTCCTGGCTGGGAGCTCACAACCTTGAATTATGATAACGAGCTGCTAAGGACTATTGATTCAGTTAACTTCTTGCCTGGACTTTCTGTGGGTGAATGCAGCTAATTCCCAAGTTTGTAAGTAAAGAGGGGGTTTTCTTTGCGGGGAGTCCGTTTCTGGCTTCTGCGAAGGCCGGGTCAGAACAATAACAACTTTTTTCAGTGACAACTTTGAGCGGTCACTAAACGAACTGTTGTAACTGTATAGCCTTTTTCAACACAGTAGCTTTAAGAAGAAAATTAGCTTGAAAAGCTTCCCTCAAATAATTAGAATTGATCCCACTGCTAGTTATACCAAAAATATTTCTTCTTTTCCTAGCAGCGTGACAACAGATAGTCCTCGATTTACGATAGTTCATTTAGTGACCATTCAGAGTTACAATGGTACTGAAAAACTGTGGCTGGGTTTCACACTTACGACCTTTGCAACATCCTCCCAACCACGTGATCAACATTCGGAGGCTGGTTCATACTTATGACCTCTGTGGTGTCCCAAGGTCATGTGATCACCTTTTGCGACCTACTCGCAAGCAAAGTCCATGGGTAGGTTCACTTAACAACTGGGTTACTAACATCAACTGCAGTGATTCACTTAACAACTGCGGCGAGGAAAAGTGGCAAAACGGGGCAAAACCCACTTGACAACGGAAACGTTGGGCTCGATTGTGGTCATAAGTCAAAGACTACCTGTACTTAGCTTGCCAATGTCTGCTTGGAGCGTTTTCCCCTCCCCTGGGATCTCCTGGTGGTGCCCCATCCACCTGTAATCCAGATTAGATGCGATTACGCTTTCCAGATCAACCCAGGTCGCCTCCTCGGTGCTGGATTTCCGCCAAGGGCGACCGGACGGCCCTTCCTACCTCGCAGGGACGTTGTACGGCCAAGGATACCGGGGCAGCAGCCTCGAAACGGGGGAAACGGGGCAAACAGAGCGGCCTCTCACCGGTTTGCCCTCCGATAGAAGCCTCGTGAGGCTCCTCGGGGCGAGGGCAGCGCAGGGGAGCCCGCTACCGAGCAGCCACATGTCGGTTGTCCTCCCAGCCCGGCCGCCGCTCCACCGACACCGTCCCCGGGGCCGAAGTCCCTCGATGGGCAACCTCGGCGCTCGGCTAGTTTCCCCTTTCCGCTCGGCGATCGACGGATCGCGCCTGCGCGCAGGCCTTTAACAACCCCCTCCGGGCGCCGTCGTCATCAGGACGCGACGCGCCGTTTAAAAGCGTGATGACGCAAGACGCATTTCCTTTCCTCTTTCCTGTCAACGCGAAAGGTGAGCCGCGCCGGTTTTTCTTTTCGTAGCTAAGGCAGGAGAATCCGGTTCCATCCGCCAAGTCGGTCCCGCCGGGTTTCTTCTAACGCTCCGGGCCAGGCCCGAACGGCATCCCCGCTAGGAGTGAGGGTATTCCTCGGGTTGCGGTCCGCGCGGTTTCGGAGAGGGACCCCCAGAAATAATCTCCCCCCCAGTACTCGCGCCGGTGGCCTGGAGAAGGGACGCGCGCGCCTGTTGTTCATCTGCGCTTGCGCGACCATCCTAAGTGACTTTAATGGGCACGTTCTCTGATTTGGAGGAAGGAGAGTCCCAAGTTGTTGTGTGAATTAGCCTGTTTATAACTCCTTCGCTCTGGTGTTGGTTTAACGTAGGCTAAATACTAGGGAAGGCGTTGGTGTATCTCAGGAGTGTGGGCAATCATGGCAACTTTTAAGACTTCAATTCCCAGAATTCCCTAGCTTGGTGATTATACGTCTGCAGTAGAAATCCTCAAGAGCAATGAATGGCCACATTGATACAGATTAACATAGTTGGAAGGGACCTTGTAGGTCATCTAGTCCAACCCCCTGCCCAATCAGGAGACCCTACGCCATTTCTGACAGAGGGCAGTCCAGTCTCTTCTTGAAAGCCTCCAGAGGTGAAGCTCCCACAACTTCGAAAGGCAACTTCTGTTCCATGGGTTGATGGTCCTCACCGTCAGAAAATGTCTCCTAATTCCCAGGAAAATAGCTCGACCCCCCTCCTCTCTTTTGGAATGGTTATATGTGATTTTATTGAGCCATAAGATCCAAAAGTTTTTCACCACTCTCCTCTGCCTTTAATCACAATTGTTTCATCCGATCAAATAATTATATCATAGATACTGTCTAAAATTTAAAGATGTGTGCATATTGTATGTTCATTAGAGCTTCAGTGTGCATATTGTATGTCTATTATTAGCACAGCTTCAACACTGTAATGTGCTTTACAGGGATATGTGACAGCCAGTTTTATTAAAATCATAAAGCATGTGTTTTTCCTAGTAATTTCATATTACTATCTTTCCTTTTCCTAAGAGGGAAATGTAGGAAAACAAAGGATTTAAACAGTGGTGGAGTTTAGCATTTGGAAAAAATGTGTAGGTGGTAGGACAATTTTATAAAAACAGTACTGAAATAAAAGACATTAAGCCTCCTTGATGCAGCAGTGCAATTGGGCTTTCAAATTTGTTTTTCATAGAATAGAATTCCCTATGCTACTAGGCTCGAAATTCTCAGTTTGGATAACCTGGAACCACATCGCTTGCAGTCAGACTTCGGTATTGCATATAAAATTGTATGGAGTAATGTTTTAACTGGAAATGACTTTTTTCTGCTTTAATCTCAATAATACACACACAAACAACCTCTTTAAACTCAATGTCGATCGTTCTAAACTTGACTGGAAAAAAAAAATACAAGTTTTGTAATAGAGTTGTCAAAATCTGGAGTGCTCTTCTACTTGATCCAGTTGGCTCAGCTGAACATTTTCACAGTTTTAGTCACAAATTGACTTCCGTAGACCTCACTTCATACTTAAGAGGTCTGTAGAGGGACTGTGCATAAGTGCACTAACATGCCTATTGTCCCTATCATTGTATTTTTTATATTCTGTTTTTCTTTCTCTCTGACAAATTGCAATAAATAAATGCATTCTGTTGAAATTTTGTTTTTAAAAAGGAGATTCTCTTGCTTAACTTTCCATTTTGTCTTTTTTTTTTTACTAGATTAAAAATGAAGACCATTCTCAGTAACCAAACAGTTGACATTCCTGAGAAAGGTAAGGATGTAACTCCACTAAAACTCTTTTTCTTACAAAAATAATAATAAATAAGCATCTGACTTACTGTTTGGATATTTATGTTGTCTGAATATTTTACTGAAGCTATTTTTTTTTCTTTCTTTCCAGTCGACATTATCCTGAAGGGGCGGACGGTTACTGTCAAAGGCCCCAGAGGAACTTTGAAAAGGGACTTCAACCACATCAACGTGGAACTCTCCCTTTTGGGGAAAAAACGCAAGAAGGTGAGACTGCCTCGGTGTTATGTCAGGTTTCCAGATTTCCGATCATCTCTTATAATTAATTCGCCATTTATTGTGGTTGTGTGGCTAGAATATGAGATTTGGAGATGCTGACTTGAAAGGTAGTGAGAAAATATGTCAGATTCAACACAACCTGCTAAAGGTTGCAATGTTTACAAACCATGTGAATCATTGCGATGGTGTCATAAATTCTGAAGACCTGAGAGAGCTTTCATTGCATCAAATGCCAGCTGTTTCCATGCTTGCTCCTTATTATATGTGCATTTTGTTTTGTGCAATGCTTCTGGATTTTTCATAGACCATGTTCCTGTCTTGAGTGCACATATATTTGTACAGGTAGTCCTCAATTTACAACCACAATTGAGCCCAAAATTTCTGTGGCTAAGGGGAGGTGTTTGTTAAGTGAGCTTTGTCCCATTTTACAACTTTCCTTCACTCAGTTGTTAAGCGAAGCACAGCGGTTGTTAGGTTAGTAATATGGTTGTTAAATGAATCTGACTTCGCTTGTCAGAAGGTCGCAAAAGGGGATAACATGTCCCTGGGACACACAGTTGTCATCCATATATGCTAGTTGCCGCATGTACCAATTTTTATCACATAAAAACAGGGATACTAGTTGTAAGTGGTGAAAAATGGTCGTAAGTCTCTTTTGTCAGTGCCGTTTGATCACTAAATAAACTGTTGTCACTTGAAAACTTCCTGTATTATACACCTATTTTACTAAGGTCTCTGAAACTATTGGCTGCCATCCTTCTTGCTATTTATTTAACACACACACACACACCCCGCCAAAAAAAATATACCTCAGATATAAATCAAGTTTAGATTTACAGGATTGAACACGAAAACCTGAAGTAGAAAAAGCTCCAAACACAATTTAGTGAAACCTGACACACTCAGGGGACTTTCAGTGCATATGGAAATGGTGTATCAATTAATCCATTTTAGTGCATGATGGATGATTTCTGAACATTCCTTCCCCCGCATCCCTGTCATATGGACAGGGCAGGACAGAATAATGGAATGAGGAATAGGATTGAATAGAGAATAGGATAGAGAATAGAATGGAATAGAATCTGTTGTTGTTAGTTGCAAAGTTGTGTCCGACCCATCGAGAGCTCATGGACAACTTTCCTCCAGGCCTTCCTGTCTTCTACCATTCTCTGGGGTCCAGTTAAGCTCAAGAATAGAATCTACACACACACACACACACACACACACACACGTGCAAAGAGGGAGGGGGTGTTCCAGCATACTCTGGAATGCCTCGAGCAATTTCAAAAAAAAACTGGTACACAGATGTCTTACACTCTGCAAACAAATACTGTGGAAGTAAGACACCCCNTCTCCTTATATTGAGGATTTGAAAGGGGGGGGCTCACTTTAGTGCCGGGGTTGGGGGGGTGGGGAGAGGTCGAGTGGGGCTGTAAAAATTCATGGAAAGCTCAGACCATTTGGTAATCTTAACAGTATTTCTCAACCCTGCTCATTTTAAGCGGAGTGGACTTCAACTTCTGGGAGTTGAAGTCCACACCGCTTAAATTGACCAAGGTTGAAAAACCACCGATCTTAGAATTGAAGAACGGGCTCCATCTTCACATTTTTTTAAAAAGCCAGAAAGACACACATCTTTTCCTGCTTTAAAAGCACCGTCGTTTTCCCCTGGTATCCACAAAGGGGATCTTGACTGGGTTCCAAGACAGAAACTGGGCCAGGCTCCAGGCCCGTGTCTTTTGATAACGGAGCGATTTGGCAGGTGTGTGGCCTCAGAACATAAGCAGCTTCCATGTGATAAAATGGTTTTTGGAAATATAAGGCACATCTCAATCCAACGGCAGCCGTATCTTCCCCTACCTGCCACCGTATCCAAGCACTTCCCTGGCTGTAAGATCTACGGTGTCGTTTGCATTGTCCGTTGTCCTTGGCCGCAAAGCGAACTTTAGGGATTCTAACACACCCTCCATTCAGCAGCTCTCTAGAAGTCTTACCGGAGGCCAGCCAATCAGGTTGCATTGCGCGGTGCTCTGTTCCAAAAACTCCAATCGGAAATCTCAGTATCCCAGACATAATTGTCTAAATTTTGAGGAGGCAAAATAGATGCTTCTTAGAGGACTAAGGTTGCTGGTTCTTACCTAGGCGCGTGAGATTTCCAGCCAAGAGTGTTGAAGTTCACATCTCATACTGAGGGGATCCATCTGTCGGTTTCTAAGGAAGCTGAGAGAAGAAGGCACAAAATCCATTTCAGGATCTCAGCATCCCATTTCAATGACTATCTAACCGCCTGGGTATCGTCTTCACACAAGTTCCATTTCAGTGACTATAACCAGTTGGGTGTCATCTTCACATATTCCATTTTAGTGACCATAACCGCCTGGGTGTGATCTTCACAAGTTTCATTTTAATGGCTATAAACGGCTGGGTGTGATTTTTCACAAGCTCCATTTCAACTTCCATTCCATAACCAACTGAGTGTCATCTTCACAAGTCCCTTCACCCAGATTAAGGCTGGGTGTTGTTGTGGCCCTCCAGCAGCCATCAGAGCTGGCAGCAGATTCAGACAGTGAGGAGGTTGGGGAGGAACCTGGGCCAGTCCTGGAGTCTGGGGAAGGCTCTGATCAGGACTGTGTGAGAGTCAGAGAGGGGGGCAGAGCCCTTTGCCAGTTATCAGCTGCCTTCAGAGTCAGACACCAGTGAGGCAGAAGAACAGCTGGAGCCTCTTCCCAGTGTGCACATGTGCAGAGTTGCCAGACGAAGGAAACAGCTAAAGAAAGGAAACAGCTAAAGGGGTACACTTGGGAGTAAAGCCACAGGTGGCCCCTCCCAGAGGAAATAAAAAAGGAGTGAAAGTGGAGTTTGCAGGAGAAAATTAGTTCGCTTCATTGGTTCACGACTCTCCGAGACTCCTTGCCAAGTTTTGCAGATATCGGCCTGGCAGCTCTCCAAGCCAGATAAAGTCTGTGACTGTAAATCCTCCCTTGAAAGACTTTGCTGGATGTGAACGAGCAGAATTCACAGTCAATGAATAAAAGGGTTTTTTGTGGGAGACAAGGAGTTTCCTTCATGCTCTTGGGAAGCCTCGGTCAAAACAGGTGTGTTCTTCACCATTTCAGACCTGGGTAGCATTCCGCACAGTCCTGGCGCCAGGTCGCCCAGTTGGAGTAGAGGAAGTGCCTTCCCTGATACCGATAGGCTGCTTAGAACCGGGGAAAAGAGAAACAACAGTGTCATTAGAAAACTGTTTGGAATGGAGATAGAAACCAGACTTCGTTCTTCTCTCAACAATTTGGACTTCATTCGGGAAAAGAGGTGGAGGAAGGCTATCTCTGTGGAGAGGGGACCACTGTGTGATTACCAACCAAACCCCGAGAGCACCCAAGTATTGATACAAGCTTAGAGGCAAGGTCCGTTTTACTCAGGAAAAAAAAAGAGTAGTTTTATGGGGAGCTGAAATTGTTTTTCGTAAAAGTTGCAATATTTCTCAGCAAGGTTTTCTAAAATCCTTAGCGGAGTCATGCCAGGCCCTCAGATTTTGTAATTGGCTCAGTGAACCAAGGCAAAACCAGTTGAAGTTAAAAGGCAGGCTTGTCGTTCAGAGGTCGCACGGGGGAAAGAGAGAACAGAAAAGAAAGAAAGAAAGAAAGGAAGGAAGGAAGGAAGGAAGGAAGGAAGGAAGGAAGGAAGGAAGGAAGGAAG